ACCCAAAGTGCCGCTCATAATATATACTACCTTTTCTCCTCAAAAACCTGGAATGGAAACACCAATAAATAACTAATAATAATAATAATAAGCTAATTTAAAGGAAGCTAACTATTTGACTTAAGCATTCATTAAAATAAAGTTCGGAGAGTTCGTGTAGTTAGAAGCATGAAAACTTAGTTTTAATCTTTAATGCGATCATCTTTGTAATCTTTCCTATCTTTACCAAATAAATAAATAAAATTATTTTATGAAGCTAACCTTGTTGGTTGGGGGAATTTTCTTACATTTTTTTATGGGTGTATTTATTTCTTGAAGGCATTGTCAAAAAATAAAATAAATAAATAAAAAACAGTTAATATGTTTTTGATATTTTAGAATACTTATCAAGACTGTTGGAAAAATGGTGAGTTTTCTTGTTCATATCATTGAAGTCATAATTTATTACCAGTTTTGGGTTTGACTGTGATCACTTCAGCCTTTGAATAGAACACGGTCTTGGTTAATACTCATTCTGTTTTAAGTTTCAACCGCTCCTGAGAGGAAGGAAACGTAGAATAGGTTGAATAGGATTCACACACGCGGCATGATTTGGATTTTAGGTTAGCAAAGGGAATTGGAACGGCTTCGCTTCTTGTCTCGTGTGCTTGCAACTGCTCAAAAGAAAAATGATTTTTGCTTATGTCACCTTGACGACAGGGAGAAGAGATTATTAGAATTATAATTTTGTTCTATTAATTTATATATAAAAAAATTAGAATAAACAGGAGTTAGAACTTTGAAATTATATATTATTCAACTTTTTTCTTCGTGATCCTAGTCGTACGACAATTTTGGATGGGTAAATTTCGTTGTCATTGCCCAAACCAAGCGACTTTCAACCCTTGTCATTAATTTGTGGCTTGCAGAACCATAATTAAGGGACCTCATAACATAACATATCTCGTGTGGTCTTACATTTTGATGCGTTGCCTCAATTCTCTGCAAACTTTTTCGATCTCACACCCGTGTGTGTACATGAGAGCTTCTTAATCATGGTCAAAATCTGGGAATTCAATTTTCCTTATTTTTAATACATTCTAAATTGCACCGTGTTTCATTTTCTGTTAAGAAGTAAAAGTTGTTCCCTATATCTTCTAGTCCACACTTTGGAAATTATGAATTTAATGAATGCTAACGTGATTTGAGACTGAAAACTTATTTTTATACTGCATCAATTTTATTACTAACTGTTAGTAAAATGCTAGGATTCATAAATTAAGTACATGATTTTGATTCTTTTAAATTTTTTATTTGAGTCCCTTAAATATTTTTGGATTGGTGAGAACAAAATATTATTTGCACCAATGGTTACGTTTTCTGATCTGGATGAGATTAGTACAAGAAACCAGTGTTGGCAGCAACACTTCAAGTTGACTCCGTCAACAAGTAATGTGAATCACAGAAAATTGGAACAGATCCTTTTACGAGCCAAAACTACGCATTGAGTGGGTCATCCTCTTCAACTTCCTCATTCATATTTTACGTATTCGAATGGTTTAAGAGTCTAAGAGACTACAGGTATAAATAACTTAGGTTTATGACCTAGCTTGTTTAAACTAATATGTATTTCTTATCGTTGCATTTATTATTCTTCTTTTATTAATAACTTTATTCAAATGCTTTTCTTTTTTCAACCGTTGAAATATTTCTTCTTCTCACGGTTACCTCTTCTTTGCCTTTTGTTTTGTTCAAAACTTTGTAAGTTGTTTTGTCCGGTATACTTTAAACTCTAATAATCAAACATTAATCACAATGCAAGATATCACCTTATTTCTCTGATAAATTATTTGATGAAAATAAGTTATATCTATATTATTACTTGTCCAATAATAATAAAAGGGAATAGAAAATAATTTGATTTAGAGTGTAATAAAATTGAATTCGTAGTTTTTTGGTAGAGTATAATTGAGTGAGAAATATAGTGAATTTGATATTTTAAAATTATGTTTTATATAATTGAAGTTTTATATAAAATAAATAATATTTGATTACTATTTTTTTGTCTTTTTATAATATAGTTTAAATTATTATTTTTATTATTATTAATATATATATATATATATATATATATATATATATATATATATATATATACTTTCAA